AGAGGAGAGAGAGAGAGAGAGAGAGAGAGAGGGGGTGCGATTAAGAGAAAATAGAAGAAAGAAACGGCCTAAGCGCGACAACAGTGGTCAGACCTAGCGGTAAGGAGGGAGAGATAGGAAGCGAAGAATTTCATAGAAAAGGGAAGATCTTTTTTTAAAAATCATTCACATTTTAGAAATGAATCAACAACACTTCAACATTCCTTCCTCGGGTTGATTTGAACTTTCGTTTCTTTTTTCTTTTTCCATCGAAGAACACTACTACTACGTGAAACTACGCGATGAATGAAAAATATTATACGCATCTCGAGATCGAGATAATTAAATTCTTAACGATGAGATGAAAAGAAGAAGAGAAAGGGGAAGGGGAAAAATTTCCTTCCCTTCCAGTCGAAATCGTCATCCAGAGCGTATTTGGCCTGGAAGAAAAACGGGGAAGGAAAAAGAGGAGAGGAAGAAGAAGGGAGGAAAGTTGGCTCGTTGAATCTTTCTCCACTGTTCGCGTACTTCCAATACTTGATATATTGCGCGCAGTCCACACGCTCGATACATCTCCGCACAATGGGAAAGAAATCACGAAGGAGGGGGGGGGGGGGGGACGAAAGATGAACACACAGAGACACACACGCACAAACACACGTACACGCGTATACAAACGTTTGCCAAGACGGAAATACGATTGTAAAGTAGCAATAAAGCTGAGAAAAATCTATTGTAAATATATAAAAGGGGGAAAGGGAATGGACGAAAAAATGGACTGGGTCGGGAAGAGGTGGAAAATTGGATCAACATCCAATCCCATGGATGCGTTGTATAGTCGTGTAAGGGGAATTATATCACTGTAGATATCTTAGCACCTTAGATGTGAGACTTCGAAGAGGGAACACTCGTTGTAAACTTTCAAAAAGTTGTACTTCTTCAGACTACGGGATACCCCGGGATACTCCGGGGTGGGGTGGGGGGAATGGACTGTAAAAAAATAATAAACGGCTTCCTTCTTAGCCGATGTGAATCGGTTGTTGTCTCGATCATCCCCTCCCCCTCCACCTTTTTCCCTGTCGGTTTGGCCCTGCAAAAATTGCACCGTGGCGATTTAATTTTTCCTTTTACTTCTCCTTTTTGTATCCACTTACGACGAATTTCAGATCGACTTTCGGCAGAGTCTTAAAAAATTCGACTCGACGAAGGATACAAAGGGATGGAAAATGGTGGATTATCGAAAAAAATCTTTATTCGGAATATTACTTTGAACAAATTCGAGAGTTTCTTTTTTTTTTTTTTTGTTACAGTACGAAGCGATTGATCGACGTGAAGGTGTCTTTCCAGAAAAGAGATTCTCCTCTTAAAAGTAAAAAAAAAAAAAAAAGAAACGACTATAGCGATACTATATCGGCTATTACATTATTTACAGCAATGCGATAAAAATATCTCCTCGTCTAAAGATTCGGCCAGATTAAATCGAATAATTATCTCGAACTTTTTCTATAATTTCTATCCAAGGTAAAAAAAATTCTTTCTTCTCCTTCTTTCTCCCTGTTTCGTAGCGCATATGTATGTATATACACTTTCAGTGTCTTTCAATTTAAAAAGAAACGACAACAAGATCGAAAAGCGCTATTTCTTCCACCACGTGGTCGATATTATCTTAGAAATTTCGTTGCTTGACATGCAACACAACGAATCGAAAGAATCGAAGGTGTTCCTTCGTTGATACTTGTATATATATATATATATTTACAATATATAGAATATACGTGTATACATTTCACGATTATCTTGCGTATAGTGTCGACGGGTGAAGCTTGGAAAAAGAAAATTTCATTTTACGTAATTAATATGTTACAACGAATTGGCGCAATGTACCAAAAATATATATATATATATATATATATAATAGAGACCGTTTTCCAACCGATTGAAAATGAAAGCATACTTTGAGAATGTAATAATGTAACGAACGTGAGTAACGATCGATGTGAAACATACATAAAAAGTAATTACGACTCGACAATGGTTTCCATGGTAACGTTCTCGATAAGGGAAGAAACGATGGAACGATCAAGATGGATACAATTCGATATTATAAATACATTATCCGATCATGAGTCGGAGCGATTGTCGTGGATAGAAACACTTGTAAAGCACTTGAAGAGTCACGGATCCGATTAAAAACGCTCGTTCGTTTCTCTTTCACCAAAGATTGCAGTTATCATCGATCGATGATTCGAGTGGGGGGAGGACATTCATCCGTGAAAACAGGAATATTGAGGAGGAGTATTGTTTATAAAATCGATTGCTCGTGTAATTGGAAATTCGCTATCCTACCTACATCTCTCTACAACTGAAATATTACGCTCAGCGTATTATGATTTTACATGGTAAAAGGAAAAAGAGTAAATATAAAATTTACAGCTAATTGCTTATTATAAGAGAGAGAGAGAGAGAGAAAAACTATTACCTTTTTTTCTTCTTTTTTTTTTTTTTTACGAAATGTAAATGTCGCATGGATTACACGCATTTTTCGTAAAAATGCCGCCGAGAGGCGATAAATATTCGCAGCAAGCACGCTCGGTAAAAATGCTCGGTAACAAGATTTAGAAATTCTTTCTTCGCGACACGGTCCTTCTTACTATCTTATACTATCTTACTCATATATATATATTATATATATATATACATTCACCTTATATTCAAACTTATATTCCTGCTCTTCCTAATCTCATCGTCGTTTAGTAGGCCTTCGCCACCCGAACGAAGATCTTCGTCCTCGAGTCGATCGCGTATATGCTCCGAGAGAAACGATTGATTGGATTAGTGGTCGAAGGCGTCGCCGGTGCCCGGTCGATCGAACTCTTGCGAGGAGTCGGCCGGTCGATCGGGCACCAGAAGCCATCCTCACGTCCTCACGAACTTGTACACCACGCCGAACACGAGCACGCTGACTAGCACGAGTACGAGGGCGGTCACCACCTTGGCGAACGCGTTCAGCCCGCTCTCGGTGTGCTGCTGGGGCCTCCTCGCGGGCACGCTCTGCTTCGAGGCCAGGCCGCGGGCCAGCGCGGGGAAGGCCAAGCTCTGGGTGAAGGTCAGCTTGTGCAGGGACTCCGAGAGGGAGTAGGGGCCCACGGAGCCGCGGGCCGCCGCCCTCAGCAGGGCGTATTCCAGGTCCAGGGCGTCGAACATGCTGTACCTGTCGAGCGAAATGTATCTCCGATTGAAAAGATTGTGAACGATAATATTGGCAGGATGTATTTCACATCAGGATATAAGAATAAAATTTTAGAATGGAATATAAATTTTAAATTAGAACGTGTACACTTATTTTCATTTTGTTTTTGTTATCGTTGATTGCATATTAAGTGTAAACAACTTGAATTAGAATGTATATCCGCAGTTAAAACAAGGATAGATTTGAGGATAGCAATGGACACGATTCTGTCTATGATTTTGCTTTGCGTGAATATGGTAGCTTCGAGAAGAGTTATTTTCAGAGCGTATGTCGTAGCATCTGAATTAAACGGTAACTGGTTATGTGATGATATGAACAATATATATACAGAAAGAGAAATATGATCTCGTCGAGACAGCTCATCAGCAATTCGTAGTTGAACTATAGAAGTAAAGTACTATAGAGAAGTCGCGTCGGGAGAATTTGTGTGAAGGAATGAACTTACGAGAAGTTGGAACTATATTTCATAACTTGGTTCAATAGGTTGTATCGTTTCAGTTTCAACTCGAGTTATTACTTCCGACTCGAGAAGGACAAGTCGATTCGCCAAAATCTATATTATCCATCGATTTTGTAGAAATTGAATCGAATCTATCAGGTGTGCAAATAAATCCCTTCCTCTTTTTCTCTACGATCTACGTAACTTCTCATCGAATTCGAATTACTTGTCGTTCGTGGCGCCATCTGAAACAGCGTTCTTTTGTTTTTAAGAAGAGTCGCTACGAGCGCTCCAAGAGTTTCCAGTTCTGTGCAACGATTTTGAGTGATATGGCGTGCGGGAAGGCGTCATTTTTGTATTCCAGTTTAGAAAATCGACCGTTGAAACTACCGAAACGGTTTGTGTGCGGCACTGGGAGAGAACGTGTGTCTTACGGAACGTGCGAAAAGTGATAGCAAAGATTTTAGAGCCGGAAATTTTAATTTGGAAGACGACGATCGTTCGAGTGCATCGAGAAAGTTCGATTGGCGGTGAATCGAAGGAATCGCTCGACCCAGAAGAATCAGAAAGATTGGCGTCTATCCGACTGAAACGATCAGGTAATCTTGTAATCTTGTTTACGTAAAAAAATCTTGAATTTGGAAAAGAAAGGGAGAAATGCGAATTCTTCGCTATTCAAACACCAGTTCGTGTTTGAGACGAATTCTCGGATCGATCGGAATACGAAGGTTTCGCTTCGTTTAAAAGATGGATTTCCGCCTTGCCGTGAAAGGAAACGGTTTGCCCCGGATCACTGGGATACCACGGGCGCGATTAATATCCCGAGATGCATAAATGAAAAAGGAGAGCCGGCACGTGTACGCGTTGTGTGTGGTGGTCGTATTTGCATGGTGCCAGGGTCGCGCCTTGACACGAGCCAAGATCGACGTCAGACCGTATCAGCCCGGGGGATTATTTCCACAGCCCTGGTAATTTCACGGATCGGGAACAGACACGTTTCAGGGCCTCCTCTCCCTTTCGTACCAGGGATCTCTCGATTGCGAAACGATATCGTCGATATCGTCCTTATCGTCTTATCTCGAGGTCTCGAAAACGAAAGTCGATGGGCGAATATAATATAGGAGGGAATAGAAATTCTGTGACGGACGAAAATTTCGTTGTTAAATTTCGAGTTGAAAAATTGAAAGTTGTCGAAAAAGTAAATTTCATTTTGTACGTGTGTTAATATTTCTCTTTTAATTCCCTTAGCATTTAAAGCGGACAACCTTTTACGCTATTTTCATACAGATAGGTAGATTCGGCTTGAATTACTCGAAACGAGTTGTTGAGTGAGCTTCGTGGGTGTGTATTTGGAAATTCGTGCAGGATATTACGTATATTAAGGTCAGCTTGTATTCGTACATTTCGGACGAAGGGACACTGTTATCTATCCCCTTGTATCGCGTTGTATTACGACGACGACGATAAATTCAGAATGGCATTTTCGTGAACGTACAAAAGCAACGTTAATTAACCTAATTAATAAATAAAAAAAAAAAAAATCATCACGAACGTGTTTAAAAATCCTCTCATTCGCTGTCGCCGAAAATCTACATCGCATTTTCTAAATTTCGCAAGCGAAAACGAAAATGCAAAGAGCTATTGCAAATTGTATCACCTGCTGCTACGTCTCCTGTCCTGCGAGTGCATTTGGGCGTTCGCAGAGCTGGGCATGGAGCGGAGGCTGCTGGTTGTCGAACTCGAAGGGCTGGGCGGAAGTGGGGGCTCCTCGTCGATGGACGTTCGGTCCGGTGTCGGTGGACTCTTAACCCCGGAATTGTGGTGATTGTGATGCAAGTGGTGCAATTGTAGCCGAGCGTGGTCCGGATGGAGCAGGCTGGCGCGTCGCGATTGTTGAGGCGTGGCGGCTGGACTGGTGCTTGCTGCGCCGCACGGCGAGGGCGATGTCCTTTTTTTTTTTTTTCGAAAAAAAAACGAACACGTGCAAATTATTAGCCGGCTTAATTTTTTTAAACGTAGAATTCTAATTCCGTGGAATTAGAAACGGATTTTCTTCGGGGATATAACGAATGTGTACGGCTTCGTTGTCGGGATTCCTTCCGTTTGTCGGATTCTACGATTTTTCAATTGATCATTGGAATTGATGAACCCGCATGCCTGTTGAATTTCAGAAGTTCGTTATCTCTAAACCTTCGTTATCGGGTTTCTCAACTTGCCTCGACTTTATTAAATTTCAACTGTCCCCCATTGAATTTTGAAATTCAATAGCCGAACTTTAACCGAAAATTACGAAAATTTTGCAACGACGTTATAAAATTCTGTAAATACAATTAAAAAGATACCGTTTCGATTCAATTTTATCACAATTTAATTTCTATATCGAGTCTGAAAGGTTCGATCAAATTTAGAAAACTTTTTTTTTTTCTCACGTTACCTGTATGGACTCGATGCCGCTGTCGTTGACGTTCTCCTGGACGTCGGGAAACACGAATGCCTGGGCCTGTCCGTCGGCCTCGCCCCTCGGCGAGTCGCTCGGCCATACTTGGAGCAGGGGAAGGCCGGCACGGGGCTCTGCTCGAACTTCGGTCGCGATCTCGTTGCTCTGCTCGCCCGCGCTCAGGCACAGTCGGCCCAGCTCTCTCAGTGGCTTCTGTACATTCACGATGTGCGCGTTATTATAACCATTGTATAACAAATATACACACCTTCCCTCCTCTTCCTCCCCTTTATATAATAACCGATAATTATTAATAGAGGCGGGATGATCGATAGGATTATGCAATTTTTACAACTCTCGTTGTTGTTGTTGTTGTTGCGCGACAGGGATTATCGACGAAGGTTAATATTTAACCAAGCGTGATCAAACTCGATATAATCGCAAGGATTGGATAAGAGAGAGAAGGAAATAATAATCCGAATATTGATAGGATTGAATAAATTATTTTTTTCTTCTTCGCAATTCGTTCGATCCTCCAGCTTTTGTATAAATTATTATTATTATTATTATTATTATTATTATTTTGTTTCGTGATAATTAAACGAGCAAACGAACGAACAATCGAGAGAGAACGCGTCGATACGCGTGCATTAATCGGATCAAAGGGGGATCACAATTTTATTACGTATTATGTTACATTTGCGATTAATTTTTCTTTCTTATTATCGAAGAATATCACATTAACCGATACACGCGAATCTCCCCTGTTCCTGACATAACAGCGTCCAACCACTGATAACAAGCATTATGTCAGGCACAAACGCATTATGCAAACGTTGCGTCCGCGTCACGTGGTCGCTCGCCTGTCGCCAAACCGGAAATTTCACGAACCACGATCCTGCCTCGTTATAAATAAGAAACGGATTCCCTGTAAAATTATGTCACTGCTTGACCGATTGTCAAATGTTCATTTCGTCGTGGAAAATCCTTCTCACGAACCGACTGTTTCATTCTCCGCCGCTTGTCCACCGCTCGAGTTTCAATCCTCGCGAAAATTCGATTGGGCGGGCTTCGAGGCTAATTATTCATCGTATTGTTTATGTGCACGCGTTGATCTTCATCAACGAAATTATCCCAATTATTTTTCCCATTCCTTCTCGAGAATTGATCGGAAATTGAAAATTAAAAATTGAAACAATTTCCATTCGTATCTCTCGGGATAATATTAAATCGAGAGGGTTGAAATTTGAGCGAATTAGATATTGAGTCAAACCCTCGAGAGGATTAAGGATTTGGGCGAATCGAAGTATCGTGGATTTAATTTTCAAAAATTAAAACCGAGTAATTTTTTTAAGTAATATTAAATCAACATTCGAGAGGGTTGGAATTTGGGCGAATAAATGTGAGATAAGGTGGATATGGAGAGAACACGCGATCCACGTGCGAATGTGTGTTTCCATCGATATTTGATATTTTCGTCCGTCGTTGGCAATGATCGTTACGTTTGATACGTTTATCGGCAAGGGAGAGGCTCGTGTGTTAAAAGTGTTATCGTATATTTTGTCAATCGCGTGTAGCTTTTCGCCCAAAGTTTCAAAATGTTGGAAATGTGGCGTGCAATCGTGGAATACAAATAAATGTGGAATTACAATCGTATTATTCCCAAGGAAAAATGAAACGAACGAACGATTTCAATCCTCGATCGTCGTAGGTATAACAAATGAATATAAAGAAAGAAAATTATATCGACGTTTAACTCCTCCTTTTAAGAGATCGTGTATAAACTAAATCGATGGATTGGCAGCATTCGAAAAGATCGCTTCCTTTCCTCGAGGAAATTTAAACCTGAACATCTGAATAATATTAAACAGCCTTCGATGTTTCTCGCTTCCAAGAATAACTTGAAAAGTGAATAGAAGAGGGCGTTATATTCATCATAGAGAATATATCCGACAGATCATTATCGATCACGAATTCCAGATTCGTTTCGTTGCAAACTTGATTTCCCTAATGAATCACCAGCAATATAATCGTTGGGTGAAACTTTATTAGCTCCAACGAGAGAAGAAATCCCACTTGCTTAATTTTAAATCGAACAATAGAGAGATTCGAAGAAGATCTTCGAAACTATAAACAAGTATAATATTTTATCATTATATACTATAAATAATTATTATTATATTATTATTATATCATACTTATTTATAGTTTTGAAGAGCGAAAATTATATGATAAAAATAAATGTGATATAAGTATTTAAGCAAGATCGACGAAGGATATCGATGCAGGGTGTTCGAATAATATTCGGATCGATGATATTTCTCAAGGCACGGACGATCTTCGACCGGTCTTCTTTCTACCTGGAATACACCACTCGATCGGATTTTCATTAAGGCGTATTTACACCAACACGAGAAAGGTCTCTGTAACGCGGCTGTTTCTTTGTGACACGATGACGCAGACGTTCGGCTCACGGGAGAATCGAACTGGCAACAGTTAATAACGGTGGAATAATAAAAGTGCAAAGTTCAGAGAAGCGACTCGTGCGCTTTGCCATCCCCATTTCCTTCCGAAAACGATTTCGAAGGATCCTTTGAACATTGGTTCAAGGCTTCTGGCAGTGTCTTCTTTAACATCCTGCATCCATGTTTCGAAGAATTATCGTGTCACTTTTTAGTTTTGAGAAAAATTTTCAGAAATTCAATTCGCGCGTGCTGTTATGATCGAAAGTATTTTCTTTCCAATTTTTCCAAAAGGAGGGGAGGGGAGAAAAATCGTTCGAGGAATCTGTCGCCATTCTTCTTCGAGTTCGCTGGACGATAAGCGATTCACAACTCGGCTCGATTCAAAGGCGGCGACATTTTAATGAGATTATAATGTAAATTTATCGGTGCATTTTTATCGTGTTCACCGATTTGTCTCATACAAAGTCTGTATAATTAGTCTGGCCTCGTGTAAAAAAAGCTTCTGGTCAAACGAAAGGCGATGCGAAAGTGGATCGATAGAGCGCGATCGGGAAGAGCGTAACGAAGCTGGATTCTTTTTTTTTTTTTTTGTGGGGATCGCGAAATTTTACCCGACGAAAGATAAAAGTAGATAATAAAAGGAAGAAGAGAAAAAAAATTGGAAACAAAAGAAAGAAATTAATGATGAAAGTTCGAAACATCCCCTTTCCAGGGGGTTGGTTAGAGATTGTCTAAATTTCCCGAACTGAAATCCACCACCGATTGCGCGAAACGTCGCTGTTGAAATTCGCGTTAAACATTTACGGATCATTTTTACAATCTGTAAAATCTTGAAATCTTAACGTTTTCTTCTTCTTCTTCTTCTTGTTCTTGTTCTTCTTTTACGAGCTTTTCAACCGTTGTTCAATTTTGCGCGAGAAGGGCGCATGAATTTTTCGTTTCACTACGAAGAATTTTACTGCCGTAATCGATGACAGAAAGATCTTCTTTCCATATTTTCACGCGCAGGAAGCAAACGGAACAGGAAGAAAACTCGATTAACTCGTTTAAATATTTATCGAATCTGTTCAAAATTCATGGGACACCTTTCCAGCAATTAGTCCGAAGGCTCGTTGAATATTTTAACTCGTGATTATCATGCAAATACAAATCCTCGGTATCCCTGGATCTATGCCCGGAAATGGGGAATTTTTTTTCATGTTCTCGATCACTCGAAGAACGATATTTTTGAAAGGGAAAAGAAAAAAAATACAACTCGATCGACAATGGAAATATTTAAGAACCGAGTCTCTCTCTGTCTCTCTTTCCATTGTTCTTTGCCCCTTGTACGGCTGCAACCGGTTTTTTCAGAAAAAAAGTACGTCCAAGTATAACGACTCGTGGCGTAACGCGATAAAACGGCGATAATTCGAGCGAAACGAGGGCCTTGGTGGCCGCGATTCGAACCATTCTGCGTGAAACATGACACCGGAATGTGCAAATATCGCGCCCCATTATTGAAACATCCTCCTCGGCTGTATTCACGATTTTCCTTCGATATTTCCCTTTTTTTTTTTTTTGTAACGATCCGCGTACAGCTTCGCACATTTGGCACGAATACGCGGGTGAATTAATACGGGAGAAACGTATTTTTGCAATAAAACGTATTCACGAGAATTTTTCTCGCCAAGCTATTCATTTTATTTTATCTTTACTGCGCCATTGTATCATCAGTGTATATTACGTGTATATGTATTTGTTGCTTTTATCTTTCGTTTCCGATTTAATGGACGTTAAAGGAAGAAAGGAGGAATTTTTGAATTATTATTTTTTATCGATCGCGCGTTGTATTGAATTGAAAATTGAATGCCAAGGAAAGATTCGTAATTTTTTTTTCTCTTAGCGAAAGTAAAAATTAAAAAATCGGTCTAAAATCGGTAATCGTTGGATTTGGAAAAGACTCGCGAAATTAAAATTAAATTCGCATCCCGGTGGGAATGAGTTGAGAAATTTGTCGCGTCGGATATATCATTTTCGGCCGTGTTATCCATCGATCCACCTGCTTTAAGAAAGATTATGCCGCGCTGCAATTAATTTAAAATACGGACGTAACGAATTTTATAACCGTATACAGGATATTTCGAGCTTTAACTTTAGTAGTCGTTTCGACGATAAAAATCGTCGCATTTACGAACTCGTTGAACGAATTTCATGTCTGGCTGAATAATGCAAATTAAACGTTCCACTCCTCTTCGACTCTATTTCTCTTTGCTCGCAAACTGGAGTCCCGGTTTCGTAGCAGTAATTCATATACCGCGATTACCACGCATTCTAGTTTCGATATTCGTTAAAAATCTGTTAAAAAATTATTTCCAATTTCCTTTATTTTTTTTTTTTTTTTTTTGATAAAATCGTGTACGAAGCAATTTCGAAGCGTTTTAAAGCTTCGTTTGGAACTGGAACCCCTTGGAAAAAGAAGAAAAAGATGTAAAATTGGCGAATTATAATTATAACGGTGGAAAGGGGAGGAGCAACCCGTTGGAAATTTGTGGAAAGCCGTGATCGCGAATCGTTCGTGACCGTGACTGAGGAATCTTGCCACGTTCAGCCTTGACACGACGCACGGTCGATGAAGAAATGGGGGGAGAGGGTGTTGCTTTCTTTCCACATTAGATATCCTCCTCCTTCGGCTGGTTAAACGCTGGTGGACACCCTTTCGATTAATTTTTCAAACGACGTTGAACACGGCTCGCGTTTCTTCTTCTTCTTCTTCTTTTTATTAAAAGTTTCTTTCTTTCTTTCTTTCTTTCTTTCTTTAAAAAAGGTGAAACGAAACTTTCAAAGGATCGAGATTAAACCTCTATTATTAATTCCATCGCGTGAACGGCGATCAGAAAGTTTGTTATTATCACAAAGGGAAGGGAATTGATGGGAATGGAAAAGTTAGGGGTCGCTAATTGACGTGAATTAACCTTTACCCTTCGAGTTGGGTGGCGAAAGGTTGTCTCTTTTTCGAATTCTTCTTTCAACGAATACGATTTTCTTCCTTTTTTTTTCTCTCTCGACGATAAGTCCACGATAAAAATATTTACATATTCATCCGAATAAGGGCGTTGGAGCAGATACTCTTTGGGGAAAGGAATTAATCAAAAGTGTCATCTACACCCCTCATCATCGACGGGTGGCAGGTTTTGAAAAGGCATCGACGCTATTTCCCTCGTTTGTAGAGGAAGGATCTCATTATAACCGGCTCCCCCTTTCTTCGAAATCCCCGCGGGGCCGGATCTAGGCAAAATTAAGGGGAAACGATCAGAAGAAGGGTTCGTTCGTCCGAGATTCGAACGAGGGCACACTTTCTGCGAACAATTCAAGTGCGTCGAGTTCAATTGCCGAGATAAGAATTTTTGGGAAATCGAACGAGTCCAAACTTCCGGCGACGAAGGATAACTCTTTGCTGGACTAAATTTCAGTTTAGACGAACGATTAACAATTTAATCGTGGAACTTGGTTTCATCAAGAAACAACAACGATCGAAAAGAAAAGAAACCCGCCCCTTTGCTCCCACCCTCGAATATATTAGCCGCGAATAACGCGTAATTTTTCTAGCAAGTGAATTAATAAAATAGCGTAACACGTTGTGATTGTAAAATAAGAAAAAAAAAAAAAAAAAGAAGGAAACTTTGAAACTCTGCAACTCTCGAATAACGAACCTGCGACGAAATATCTTGCTTATTTTAACAATCTCACGATCAAAATCCCCTTCCACTCTCCAAAACCACCCCTCTTCGAAAACTTCCACAAGAGGAAACCAGAGAAGAAGATCCTCGAGTTTGAGACTAACCCACCTGCATGCTTCGAAGGGCGGGCTCATGGCCAGCGTCTGTCGCTCCTCGCTCGTCTCCACACGCACCGAGGGGGTTGTATCCTGGCTCTCTCTCCTCGGGCAAGTTCGGACTGCGACTGGTGGTTCCGCTCGTGGTCGGCACGGCGGCGTGCTCAGGGGGAGGGGTGGTTGCGCCGCCGGTGGGGATGGACGACGACCGTGTGTCCCTCGTGGCGGGAGAGGGAGAGGGGTCCACAAGGATTGTGCTCCCTCGAGGAGAGTGGAGGTTGGTTGTTGTTGTTGTGCTCGACGAACGATTGTCGTGGAGAGGAGGGACTTTTTCTTAAATGTTAACAAGATTTCGATGTGTTCTAACATAAGATCAATCAATCTATCAATTATTGGCAATCAGAATCGAGCTCTCTCTCTCTCTCTCTCAGAAATTTTAACAATAAAAATTAGGAAAGGAAAACGTCAAATCGAAGGGGAGCCCCGCCGAATCGAGTGTGTTTCGAGTAAAAAATCAGCTTCCACTTCGTCGCGACGTTACGGCAACAAATAATAAATAATAATGTTGTAAATTGATTCGATTCGAAAATGATGAGTAAACGGAAGGAGAAAGGGGGAGGGAGCCGGTGCAAGAAGGTGGAAGAGAGAGGGAGGGAGGGAGGGCGACGCCGGCGCGGGAGGAGCCCCCTGGGTCAAGGTCGTGGCAGGTGGCGTCGAGCGTGGCTACGGCCCTGAAGCCCCGCTTCGTGCAGGCCGATCTTCGAGAGATCGATATGCCGTCTCTTCTCCGCAGGGGAAACGGTTTATTTATTTATCTCGTTCGTGATTTTCTTTTCTCTTTTTCTTTCGAACTCGAAGTTGTCGAGTCGCTGTTGCCTTCCTTACCTTTCATTTGCATCGAGAATTTTGGAATGGAAAATTATTATCTTTATGATTGGAGCGTAAGTAAAGTCCAACGAACTTGATTATATCGGTATGTGCAGTTAACTAGAAATCGTTGGATACGTGAAGGTTTTGGTGGATTCGAAGAGGATAAGGAAGAAGAGATGTTTAGACAGCTTAGTTGGCTTTATCGAGAGCGCCTTGTCGAGAGAGGATCCTTTCGCGGGGTTAATCTCGCAATATCTCGTTTAGATTTTTTTCGAAACTTCGATGCAATTTTTTTAAGAAACGGCTTTAAGCATAATAAGCTTCGTGTGTTAGAATGATTTCGTAGTAGTTTAAAATTAGATTGTGGAAATATTCCTGAAATATTTTCATCTTACTGTAAGTCGTGGTAGATCGTTTTCACAAATATCATCGAGATCAACGACGATTTCGGTTGAATTGGATGCATTCGACGACGAATTCGCTCGATCGAAATAAAAATAATGGTGCGGGGAAGTTGTTGAAAATTAGGGAGGGAGAAAATTAGATTCGTTTATAAAGATGAACGTTCCTTTTTTTTTTTTTTCTTTTTTTCTTTTTCCATGTCAAGGAAGCCTTCTTCAAGAATTGGAATTCTTCGCGCAGTCATATAATAATAAATATACATTTCTTTATGCCGTTGGAAATTTTTCATTGCATATATATACGCGTGATCGTAACGCTTTTCACGACATTTTCTCTGGGATCGTGTATACGAGATATCAAACGTAATTATAATTTCACGATTCGTTCGTATTTTGAAATCGAAATTTCCAATGATCGACGATTGGAATAATCTTAAAGTAACAACCTCTTTCTCTCCTATTTCTCTTACAATCCTCCGTAATCTTTGCTGAAAGTAATTCTTCCTTTATCTGTCTAAGGTAAGGTGACGATTAAAGAAAATGATCAAAGTATAGACGTTGAAAAAAGAAAATGTTGAGGAAAGAACGTTAAATTTCCTCGAATGAATGTCACAGTAAATTGAATTTTTGATCATTTTACGCCGATATTTGACAGATTCGAGAAACGGGATCGTTCGTTGAACAAATTTCGTTTTAATTAGCGGCTAAATAAAAATATTCCTTGTCGTTTTTCGAAAACGAGAGTTCAACTTGTGGTTTTTACGATTCGGAAGAAAGCTCTAAAATAACAGAGAAGAGCAAACAATTTTACGCATCCTTCTAAATTCTATCTAATCTAATGGAACGAAACTGTAAAGAAACATTACATCCAAATCTTAGCTCCTCGCATTTCTCCAAAGTTTCCTCGAAAAGTCGATCGAATCGGAATAAAATTCTCGAGGGGATCCCTCTCCTCGAGCCTCCTTTAGTTTAGTTTCGATTTCGATCTTTGCTCGCCCAACTCAAAAAGCAGCAACGAATCCATTCTCTTCCTCTCGATCCTTGCTTTTAGTTAGAAACCGTTCGATATATTCTCTATATAATACCAGTGGAATAGTATTTTTAAATATCTCCATGTATCGGATCGTTCAGAGATTTGCCAACGTTGTGAACGTTGGAAAAGAACAATGATGTATCCGTAAAAATGATTAAATTCCACATATTAAACGAGGTGTTAAACAACGATTATGGATCTCATCAGAGTGAAAAGTCAAAGTTCGTGTTAATAATCTTTCCACGGGGCAGACGAATTAAAACGAATTAATCTTGGGAACAAAATATTTTCCATTCTCCGTGTAACTTGTTAATTTGCCAATCTTCTGAGGGAAGCAGCGGCCTAAGATAATAAGAGCATTATGCAAAAAGAGGGAGAAGGAAACCGCATTGTTCCGCAGTATTATCGACTAACGCCTCCCGAATTAACTCGTTCGAATTCTCCACCAATCCAGCTTATCCGAAATAATTCTTCTCGCGACATTCGTGCGTCTCCTTTTTGATCGAACGTCGTTCGAAAATGAATAATTTCCTTTCTCACCTCTTATTTTTCTCTTGCTTAATAAGGCTAACAACCCAGTTTAATCGCTGGCTGTCGTTTGTCCTCCCCTCTGGTGATTCGGTCGAAAAATACGTATATATATATATATGCTCCAAAAAGCTCTCATCCGTTGGAAATTCCAATCTTGGAAGGATCAATGATTCACGAGGTAAAATTAAAACTCGAGCGAGATGCTTCTTTCTTACTTACTTACTTACTCTGTAAATTTCTCAGGAGAGATTTTTTAATCGATACATTAATGGTTCACAAGATTGGATCCACACCCGAGAAATTGATGCTTAAATTGCATCGAAACGCATTGGAAAAATATAGGACTCGAATTCGTTGACCTTAAAAAATGGACGGAGAAAGACGATTAAACAAAACCTAAGAGAGAAGAAGAAGAAGAAGGAAGGAAAAGGTAGTAAAATAAAAATTAGGTAAAGCAGGGTTAAATCCAAGAGGGAATAAAACAGTTGGTCCTCTGTCTGTGAACAATGATAATGCCGTTAGGGACGCACACGTCGAGGGGAGGGGCGTTCGGCCAAGGACGAGCGGGGTCAAGTCCTGTGGATGCAACAGTTGCAATCTCTGCAGGAAGATTAAAAAGCGAATTAACCAACCTGTTTCTTTCGATCAAGTCTCCCATTATCATTCGAATATCGACGGTCTAATTAATTACAACTCTGACGAGTTAAATATCATCTTCTATTTCTTCAATCGTCGTTCGACGAGAAATTATTATCGATCCCCTCGAGTCGTGTATCGATCGAAGCTGTATGGATCGTAGGTCGAGCGGCGCACGCGAGATGGAGCTCGATGCACGAAACGAGAAAAGGTTTGGCGCGTTTGCCGCGGGCAGAGAAAGCCTGGAAGCCGCGTTCAGAGGCTGATACGTTGCCTCTTCTTTCCCTTTCACCGTGTGTCGCGCCATGGCCGGGATCGTGGCCTGATAACGTGGCCAGAGACCGCGGCCTCAAAGTTCACTCGAGGGGATCGCCGTGATAACCGTGATCGAGACTGGCCGGCTTTGATCTTGCCATTCTCGAACGAATCATTTAATCAATTCGTTTAATCAATCGATCACGCGTAATCACGATGCTAATTTTCTTCTTCTTCTTTTTCTTCGAGGAAGAAAGCAGACATTATTATCGAATCATTTTAATTGGATTAAAATACGTTTTCTTCTATTTCTTTTTTCGAAAGAAGGTGTTTGAGGATAGATACACGGTGTCGAAGAAACGTCTGCTTCTTGCATTGGAACAGTTTCCCTCCAACTTTTTTTTATTTTTTAATTTCAAAGTGAAGCAAAGTTTAGAAACGGGTTTATCCGTCTAATAAATAGGATCGTAAAGCAAGGAGGATTTTCTCAATTTCAATTAATTCAACGATTCGACTCGACGAAAATTGTCGAATGTTTCACTCGATTACGAAGATCCTTCGGAAACAAAGAGACGACGATGGATAAATTCGCGATCGATTAATCGTTTGCCGCGAAGTTTTTCGATCATTGGCATTCATCGCGCGCTATCATCATTTCTTTAAATAGACGCTCGAAGGATCTCCATTTTTCTTCCATTTTCTTCCACGCCGACACAAAAATAAGAATCTTTTTCGAAAGGAATGAGATTCGAGGTGTGCTTTTTTCCCATTCTTCTTCTTCTTCTTCTTTTTCCTTCCTTCTTCATCCCGATTAATCATTCGTCGAGATCGTCGCGATAGAAAGAAACGGGGATTATGTAATTTATTACGCTAAACGGGGAGTTTCGGTTTCACGGCGCCTGCCAACCTTTCGCTTTCAGACACGTTCATCTGTGAACTTTACAGTTTTGATGGATACTCGAAGGATGTCCATCGATCCCTTCGTAATTGTCCCTCGATCGCTTTCTAAACATCTAATCGACAGACGTGCACTTCCTCCTCCTCCCCCCGTTTTTCTATTCGATCCGTTACGGATCTCACTTTACGTAGATGGCGTTGGTGAAATATTTTTCCAATCGATAATTCGTTCCAGCATGGAAACATTCGATTCATTTATCCCGGTGTATTTTTGCCAGACGAGTTGGAAGGACTGTGGAAGGATCGACGTGGACGAGGACGTGCTCCTCAAAGGGCAAATTCCTGCGGGGGGAGCCGGTTCGTTTCACAATGAAATTTCGATACACACGACCGTTCGCAGAACCGATGTGCCAACCAGAGATAGACGATTTCACTTTTCTTTCCCCTCCGCGAAATTCCAATTTTCTTCGAGATTATTGAATAAATTTTCCCCCATTCTTTTCTCCTGAGACAATTACAATGCATCTAATCGCGATGCAAAACGATCGAAGCAATCGAGGGATTGCAAAGAAGAAAAAAGGAAGGAGAGAGAGAGCAGGCGGTTATTAAATCGTTCGAAAATTCCATCCGGTCGGATCATCCGCTCGAGAGGGAAAGATTGGGCCAGCAACGTTGCTGGCATTTAGAGCGTGGCGGCCGAAGAAGGTGGTGCAACAGGCGCGTATCTCCTGCACGCCACCCCTCCATCGAAGAATATCTTCGATCCGATCGCCAATTCAAATTTTTCTCCGAAGGATCTTCTATCGGATACCTCGAGGTAAGGTAAGATACAGTTAATCCACCATTTCTTTCCCACCGTTGTGATGTAGCCACGTACGTTGACGTTCTTTTTTTTTTTTTTTTTCAATCTCTTACGACGAGCCACAAGCGAAATGTCACGAAAATGTCCGGCAAACGAGAGACGACTAGCGTGCCCTTTGTGTTCCATCCAATTATTCACTTCAACCGATCCGATGATGCTGGAACAACCGAAACTGTTGCCGGCCCACTCCTACGCCATTGCGTCGGATCGGCATCGCGCAGCGATCGAAGAAAGAGGGGGCTGAAGCACGGGGGTACCACGATCGTGGTGGTGGAAATATAAGGCGCGGCGAGTGGCGGGCCTCGGTCAGTCAAGTGAACGGGTACCCTGCGCCTTCCAAGCCCGCGTCCTTGGAGCCGCGATCCACCTCGACTGAGAGAAAGAACAGAGAGAGAGAGAGAGAGGGGAGTGGTGGAATAAATAACTCGCGAGAGATTTATCGAACGCGTGTGCGCGTCGACACGGTTGTTCCGAGAGAGGACGAGGAATTCGGTTTCGACGCGAGGATGAGGTCCTCGCTGGTGCTGCTCCTCCTGGCGGCCATTGTCCTCGCCGGTGAGTAAGGAAACCCCTCCGCCAGTTTCCTCCTTATTTTTCGAGAACGAGAGGCAACGAATTTTTCAATATGGGATTCAATCTCGACCAGCCTCCCCCTCCTCCTCAGGAGGGACACTTTCGCTTTCTCGTCCAGAATAATTTTTCTCCTCGCGTTTAACATTGAACGGGGGAGGCAGAGAGAGAGAGAGAGAGAGAGAGGGATGTGGAAGAATGGATTGGAAGATGGTGGAAGATTCGAAGGAGAGAGACAGGTTGCATAAGAGATTAGAGCGTGAAAGCCTGTGTGCTCGGTCCCGGATGGGTGACGTCACTGCCGTGCCCTGAAAAATACCAAGGGGTGGGGGAGGGGGGGAGGGAAGGGGAGGCGTTCAACTTTCCCCGCTGCTCGACGGGATTCGAGAGAATTTAGGGTCTCCCTTTAATTTTCGTTTTTCGACTTTTCTCGAGAGTGGTGGCAAAGTTTTAGAAACATGGAGGAAAGTGGGGGAAAATTTGCAATGCCGTTTCGACAAACCGGTCGTTTATGTAATTTCTCGATTCGCTTATGGAGGCGCTTTGGAAAGACCGTTTTTGGAAAGGTCAGTGAATGCTCGTTCAATTCTTTCTAAATAAAATTAAGGGACAGACGTCTCTTTATAACGTTTCACTTTTTATTCTCGAAATCGTTACTATCTACGATTTATCTGTACATGCATATATATATATATACAGTTTGAAACTTGTTCGAGAGGAAGAAGCGACTTTCTCTCGAAAAGATGCAGCCTTGGCGCTGCTCTAACGATACGTCGCGAAACGAAGGTAGAATCGCGGTAAAATAAAGCGTAAAGCAAATCGAAAGGCAGCTTTCTCCGCTTTGATGTTCGAAATTAACGATGGTCACGAAAAGAACACGTGTCCTCGTCCCACGAGAAAACAATTTTGGCCACGAGGAAGAGAAAATTTGTGAAAGAGGAAGAGTTAGTTTCCGCGTGAAGTGGAAGGATAATTGTGGATTTTTGTGACGGATTAACGAGAGGGAGGAAACAACGGCGCGAAGGTAATCTCGCTTGATCGAAGAGCAAACATAAGATAAAATAAACGGACGTGGCTGGTTGTTAATTTCACACTTTCCATAATCTCGGTGATACGCTCGCGGTTGTTGCGCAACTCGAAATTTCACTCGAAGGAATCGTTAAGATGTTTTATGTAAACGGTATTTTATCCGGTGACATCTGTGGGTTGAAATTACATCAAAGATACAACAGATAACGTCGCGTCTTCTTTCCGAGTCATCGTTACACGAGATACTTCTATTCGTTATATGCATCCTCGTCGGCTTTCTTCCTCCTTTTCTAGAAAAAGAAAATCGATTTTTTCATCGTTCGTTCATTTTTATTGCAACTTTTATCGTTGTTCGATGTTTCAGAGGGGTCGAGTCGCGTGAAGCGGCAGGAGGACAAGAAGGAGGAGAGCTTCGAGAGCGAGATCTGCAAGGACAAGGATGCGGGCGAGTGGTTCAGACTGGTGGCGGGGGAGGGCGACAATTGCCGGGACGTGATCCAGTGCACGAGTTCCGGGCTGCAGGCAATCAGGTGCCCGGCAGGGTTGTACTTCGACATCGACAAGCAGACCTGCGACTGGAAGGACTCGGTGAACAACTGCAAGCTGAAGAACAAGGAGAGGAAGGCGAAGCCTCTTCTCTACACCGAGGAGCCGCTCTGCCAAGACGGCTTCCTCGCCTGTGGCGACGGCTCTTGCATCGAGAGGGGCCTGTTCTGCAACGGGGAGAAGGATTGCACGGATGGATCAGACGAGAATATCTGCGGTGAGTTGATTCGGAGAGAGAGGAACGAGACGAGATCGAAAAGTTGTTAAAGGTGGAGGATAAGGTGGATCATGGCGGCGGATTTGGGTGATGAAAATTGCAGACATGGACAACGACCCGAACAGAGCGCCGCCCTGCGACCCGGCCGTGTGCGTCCTTCCCGACTGCTTCTGCTCGGAGGACGGCACCACGATCCCCAGCGACCTGCCGCCCAAGGACGTGCCGCAGATGATCACCATCACGTTCGATGACGCCATCAACAACAATAATATCGGCCTCTACAAAGAGATCTTCAACGGGAAACGAAAGAACCCGAACGGTTGCGACATCAAGGCCACCTTCTTCGTCTCCCACAAGTACACCAACTACTCGGCCGTCCAGGAAATGCACAGGAAAGGACACGAGATCGCCGTTCACTCCATCTCGTAAGAGAATGATCTTTGAGATCCTTTTTTCCTTGCTTCTTTTCGTATCGCGACACCAACTTTGCTCGGCCCAATCTAAAATTAATTTTCGGTTTTACTTCAGAATGTAAGATTAAAATTTCAGTGTCCGTTAATAATTTTTAACCCTTTTGGTACCGTGGTACCAATTTTGTTGTCGTCATCCATTATTAATTTTCAAAAATTTTCAACTCTTTTCGTACCATGGGAACATTTTTACACTTGTTCGTCATCCATTATTAATTTTCAAAAATTTTCAACTCTTTTCGTACCATGGGAACAATTTTACACTTGTTCGTCATCCATTATTAATTTTCAAAAATTTTCAACTCTTTTGGTATCATGGGAACAATTTTACGCTTGTTCGTCATCCATTATTAATTTTTAAAAATTTTCAATGCTTTGGTATCACCATGGTATCATGGCTTTACACTTGTTCGGGCGAATCAAGAAGTAAAATTAATTTACAGTTTTATAAATATTTAAAATTTCGTGATTGTCTACTAATAATTTTAAAATAATTTTAACTCTTTTGCTACCATGGTGTCATGGCTTTACACTTGTTCGGGCGAATCAAGAAGTAAAATTAATTTTAAATTAAGATTAAAAGTATCGATTAATAATTTTTAAAAATTTCCAACTCTTTTATGTGTATCAACTCTTTACGCGATTGTTCGGACGAATTAAAAAGTAAAATTAATTTTCAGTTTTATAAATGTTAAAATTTCGTCCATTAATAATTTTTAAAAATTTTCAATCGTTTTGATACCAGTTTTATACGATTGTTCGGGCGAATCAAAAAGTAAAATTAATTAAGATTAAAAGTATCGATTAATAATTTTTAAAAATTTTCAACTCTTTTATGTGTATCAACTCTTTACGCGATTGTTCAGGCGAATTAAAAAGTAAAACTAATTTTCGGAATGTTAAGATTTAAGTGATAAATAATTCCTTTAAAGATTCCTTTTTAAGCGATTCACGGGAGCTCGAAGCAGGTGTTAATTGTGAAATAAAATAATGGTGTTTCAAGCCACAACGACGATGAGCGTTTCTGGTCGGACGCCACGGTGGACGACTGGGCGAAGGAAATGGCCGGGATGAGGATCATCGCCGAGAAATTCGCCAACTTGACGGACAACAGCGTGGTCGGTGTGAGGGCCCCTTACCTCAGGGTGGGTGGAAACAACCAGTTCACGATGATGGAGGAGCAGGCGTTCCTCTACGACTCGACCATCACCGCTGCCCTCAACAATCCCCCGCTCTGGCCCTACACCATGTACTTCAGAATGCCCCACCGTTGCCACGGCAACCTTCAACACTGCCCCACGAGGTAACACTGCTCCCAGATTATCGCCTGCTCGGACAAACAAAACTCGATTCGATCCCCCCGACTTTTCAAAATCGGTCAAAAAAGTATATTTCGATGAAAAGAAAGAAACGTCCTCGACTCGAGGCCCATCGACTCGATATCTTCGGCACAGGTCGCACGCTGTTTGGGAGATGGTGATGAACGAGTTGGACCGCCGCGAGGATCCCCAGAACGACGAGTACCTGCCCGGCTGCGCCATGGTCGACTCGTGCAGCAACATCCTGACCGGGGACCAGTTCTACAACTTCCTCAACCACAACTTCGACCGGCATTACGAGCAGAATCGGGCCCCGCTCGGCCTCTACTTCCACGCCGCCTGGCTCAAGAACAACCCCGAGTTCCTGGACGCGTTCCTCTACTGGATCGACGAGGTCCTCTCGAACCACAACGACGTCTACTTCGTGACCATGACCCAGGTGATCCAGTGGATCCAGAACCCCCGCACGATAACCGAGTCGAAGAGTTTCGAGCCGTGGAAGGAGAAGTGCGTGGTCGACGGCCCGCCGCCTGCTGGGTGCCCCACACCTGCAAACTCACCTCGAAAGAGGTGCCCGGGGAGACCATCAATCTTCAGACGTGCGTCCGTTGCCCCAACAATTATCCCTGGGTGAACGATCCGACCGGCGACGGCTTCTTCTAGAATCATCCCTCCTTTCTCTCCCTCTCTTCTCCCTTCCTCTTCCTTCCCTATGTCGTTCTTCACCGATCTTTCTCTCTCTCTTGTCGAGGATGAACGAACGGACGACATCATCCCTCGTTGGAGGGGGGGATGAACGATTCTTCCTTCTCTTTTTCTTCTCTTCTTTTCTTTTCTTTTCTTTTCTTTTTCTTTTTTTTTCGTCGAATCGCAACAGGGTAATCGCGTGTAGAAGAAGATTCGCGCGTAAAATTGTGGGGTGTATAATATACGTGTAATGTGAGGGAGAGGGAGAAGGGACGAAAGAAAGTCCGTCGCGTCGTACCAATCGATCTGTGATAAGTTTCGAACGGTTTCAGCGACATTCAGGATCGGGAGATTCTCTTTATTATTATTGTTGTTGTTGTTGTTGTTGTTCTTCTCTCTCTCTCTCTCTCTTCTCTCTCCTCTCTCTCCTCTCTCTTCTCCTCCTCTCCCTAACTTAGACTTAGATCTCCAGAGTGCCTCTGATGCCATCTGCACGATTGAAATCTGCTATCTCGAAGACAGAGAGAGAGAGAGAGAGAGAAAGGGAGAGGGAGATCACGCGAAGGAGCGATGAAAAAAAAGAAACAAGGGCAAATGAGAAATGTAGTGAGAATAGAGGAATGGAAAGGTGTGTGATATAAACGACACGTGTCCCTGAACGGAGAGAGATTGAGAGAGAGAGAGAGAGGAGGGGAGAGAAAAAAGAAAAAAACCTGGAATCCTGAAAACCTTGTCGGAGACAGATGAGTACAGGTGGACACGATGGAAGGATTTGGCAAGGTTTCTCTCTCTCTCCGTGACGGAAAAAAATAAATCGACGGCCGCCGAAAGCACGAAAACAGCTGTGAGAAACAACGAGCGGCGGACGTACCCTTATTTTTCTAAGGGTATCCAAGAGTCAAATACTTTTATATATATAAATAAATAAATATATATATATATATATATATAAATATAAATATAAATAATATCGCGTATATGTATATTTTTAATGCTAAGTGATACTATCATTTCTACCATCCTCGTGATGGGAACATTTAATAAAAAGAGAAACCAGCGGAAACCACCGGCGTGTTGTCTCTCATTCTCTCCTCCCCCATCCAACAGGAGGAAAGTGGAACAGGTTCGAAACGAGCGGGGCGAGGTTCGTAGACCCTTCGTCTCGAACGAAAACGCGTGAGAAACGTCTTCCAGCCCAGAGAAGACGCCTCTTTTTTATCTAAAGGTGCACTTGTATTTCGTTCGTGAAATTAAAATTGAATCCTTATCGATCGGTCCTCGTCTCGTCTCGATCATCCAAAAAGTATCGGTTCTGGAATGTGAAATTATTCGTCGAATGATCGAGATCTCGGGGCGAGAAAAGGTGCGTGGTTTAAGATCAAGGCCTGGCGAAGATCGGGCGAAGATTTTCGTCACGTTCGAAATTGGAACGTGGCTTAAACCTTCGACCACTGCATTCTTCTGTAGGTCGAACGAAATGGCGGCTCAAGGTCTCCCCCTCGCTGCTTTGCACCGTTCATTTGCTCGAATTAATCGAGAGGTGAAAAAATAGCATTCGAAGATTTTCAAGCTCGATCGAAACGAATACGAGTAGTGATTTTTGACACGTCTTATGCGTGGTCTCGAGTTCCAGCCTTCCTGGAAACGAAAAATAGAATAAAATAGCAATCGAGGCAGCAAAGTATAAATACTTGTTCAATCCTATCCAAGGCAAAAAAAGAAAAAAAAGAGTAAGAGTAAAGCGCCTAACCCAGTTTATCCTACGTACGTAAACCTAACTGTTGGCAGCGCAACGATTTCGTCGATTAATCGCACGGTAGCAAGAAAAGTTGTGCAATCGAAATTGAAATTGCAACGATTCAACAACCCGTTTCGATCGGTCACGATCCAAGAGATGGGCGCGTTTAATCGGATTGAAATTGTTGCGTTCTGAAACTTCTGAAATAATCGGAGAGGAGTCCCGTTATTTTCCGCGCGAGAAGGAGAAAGAAAGGGCACGCGAGAGGGGAAAATGCAGCAACCTCGCATAAATACCAACGATCGAGCTTGCTCGAGGCGACGTTTTCTGCATTCCGACGCAGCCATTCGACGCATCGGACATTTTTACATGCTGGCGATTACGTTTCGATCGATCTTTATTTCGCGTCCTGGTGTCGACGATAATGCAAGAAAGAAATAACGGAGGAATCGAGCGCGAGAATCGTATGCGAAGAAACGCATGAACAACTGTAATAGGATCGATGCGGAGGCGAACCAATGTCGCAATTACATTCTCCCATACGCGTTCCCATTCCACGCTTAACCTTACTCCTCTTCAAAGACGAGACGAAAAATTGATCGAGATGCGAAATTTAATTTTTCATTTATCGATCGAATTGAAACAATTTTTCTTCTCCCCTTTCCATTGACTCGAAGACGGACAAAGACGGTGGTGGTACTCCTCGATCGGAATGCGATAAACAGCGTAAAGAATCGGCACGAGTTTGCCGGCAGTTCGGTCTGAAAATCTCGCATAAGCGAAAGTAGAGAAAGCTGCGTGTCTTGATGCCGTGGCAAGGCCGTCTCCGACTCCTTCCACGGGATACCGGCCTGCCTGATCATGCAGGAATCTCGTTAACATTCTTCCGCGCTGTTTCTCGGCGCACGCGCACTCCATTCGAAACATAAATAGAAATAAGTGTAAATAGAGCTGCACGAAATTGTGCAACGCCGCGGTACAAACGTTTCTTTTAACATCCTCTTCTCCATGATAGGTCGTGGTGTTCGTTCGACGCACGTTTCGAATGCAATTTCGAAAGAAAAATAACTTGGTCGTCTATAACTAGAGTTTGACATTTCAATTTCGATCCGATATCTCATCCGATCGACGTATTCGCAATGATACACGTGTTTGACCCTGAAACACGTTCCTATCAATCTCTGCTCCATCGATAACGATCGTCCATTGTCGATTAATTTCCTTCGAATACGATAACGTTGATCGAACGTAATAATAATAATATCTGATGATGGCCTGTGTATTTGATCGTGTATTTGAAACGTTTCAGAAACATTTGAACTTTCATTTGCCTTTGCCTTTCAGAAGAAATGGTGAAATTGACTTCTATTGGGTCAGTGGGCGATCGAATGTATGCGGCTCGAATTATTTGTCTCGACTATTACGCGGCTCGTCTCTTTCTCTCTCTCTCTCTCTCCGCGTCGAGTGATCCGCTAATTGAATTCTCGTTCCAAGAAGAGAGAGAGGGAGGGAGAGAGGAAGCGTATCGACGTCGATCGAAGGCGATTGAATTTTCTCTGCAACGTTTCACTCGCTGTTTAATTGGCACACGCTCTTAATCCGTGCGAGAAATGAAGTCACACGTTGAAACTTGCAATTTTTGCAATTTTATCTTTCGATGAAATTCATTTACGAATTTCTTCCCTTTTTTTTTTCCGAGGAGGATAAATTTAAATATTTGATGATAGGAATTAAATTGTCGTCGTTTGACGACCAGTTTACGAAGAATTGCTCGTTTTCGAGATATTAAAAAAAAAATTTCCTTCGAGCCGGATTCGAACCAGCGACCTATGGATGTCTTCTCTATAACACCGTACATAACCTCTACAGTCCACCGCTCTACCAACTGAGCTATCGAAGGATGTTGGGAGATGGTGTTTTTAATAGAGATAATAAGATACGTATATCGGATATTGATAATTTTCATCAATTATCGTTAAAATATTATTATCAATGGATAAACGGTATATAAATTATTGTTCAATGGGAATACGTATTTAAGAGAACGTTGAATTAGAGGCGTTCGACGAAAGTGGCAACGATATCGATCGTTATTGACAAACTAGCAATTTTTACGCGCCAGATTTGAATTAAAGATCGACGAATACCTGTTTTTACCGAACTGTTTTTACGTTCTACTGCTTTTTCAATTCCAACTTTTTGTAGCGATTAATTTAACGACCCGTTCGCTTGGTATTTTAAAAAACAAAGGGGGCAATCTACGAGTATAATTTTTTCACTTCCCCTTGTTGCATTATACTTGTTTTCCAATTTTTTCCCCTCAAAAACACGTCATAATAAAAATATTCCTCTGCTCGGCAAAATTGAAAAATCTTCTACCCGTTCGTAATTATTATCGAGGCGAGCTCGGTATTTCGGTTCGAAAATTCTCGATCGAATGATACTGATTCGATGAAACTGTTCGATCGAAGAAATTTGTGCACGTGTAAAAATATTCCTTCGAGCCGGATTCGAACCAGCGACCTATGGATGTCTCTCTCATTTAAGATCACTTGGAACCAACTACAGTCCACCGCTCTACCAACTGAGCTATCGAAGGCACATAACCGTCCTCTCCTCGGCTGATATATCTACGATTCAAACGGTTTGCAAAAAACCGTCAAAGAGAAAGGAACCTCTCCCGACAAGGTAAAAACCCCTTCGGATTCGACCTATGGATGAATGGAGTTTCTGAGAAACGAGATTGAATCGCATGTTACAATACAATTTATTTTCACCTCCATCGACCTAACCTCTTTTCCTCGAAATATTCATATATTCTCCACCAAAATTCATCGCAGGGAGAAAACATCGACTCGGTTCAAAAATTGATTCAAAACACCGTGTTGTGTTGTGTTCACCCGTGACGGTCGAAAACAGCACGGTGGGCGGAAGTGGAGGGGAGGAGGGCCCCGTTTCTTCGCCGCGTTCCGGTGGCGACGCAACGCATAATAACAAACCTTGCTCTCTGTATCCCGCTACCCGTGTTACGGGATCGTTACGATCTAACCGAGCAAAAATTCTCTCTCTCTCTCTCTCTCTCTCTCTCTCTCTCTCTCTCTCGTCGTCGTCGTACGTAGTACGTACGTACGTACGTACGTAC